GCCGCTGAGGTAACGGGAGGCGCGCGGGCGAGGCGGGCCGGCGAGGCGAGGCGGGAGGCCGCAACCCGGAGGCGGAGGCGCCTCGCCCGGCCCTTCCCCGCCTCGTCCCGTGGGGGGGGTGTCATTGGGGTTGGGGGGGTCATTGGGGGGGGTCGTGGGCCTACCCGGCCTGGCTTCCCAAGCCTATCCTGGTTTGCTCCCTTGGGTGGGCCTGAGGGGGGGGCAGAAAGGATGGGGGGGCCGCCGCCACCCGTCCCCCCCCCATGCACCGCCCCATTCCAGCCTCCCAATGTGGGGAAGGGGCTTGCTTGGCTGAGTTCTGCAAATGTAGCCCCCCCTCCCAAGCTGGCTGACCCCCCCCTTATGGGTGGGGGGGCTGCATGTGGCCCCACGAGGAGGCCTCCCCCTCCCCCACATCCCCACCCTTTGGCTGCTTGGGGGGGCTGGAAAGAGTGGGCTGCCCCCCCACAGGCCCTGTTGTCCCAGCCCTCTTTTGGGTGGGGGGCTTCCCTGCCCCAAAGCTCTTTCCATGGGTCCTTGTGGGGGGGAGGGCAACCCAAAGCCCCTTTGCCGGGGGGGGAGGGGAGTTTCTTTTCCAGGCTGCCTTGGAAAGGGGTGGGGGTGGGGGTGGGGGTTGCTTTGATTGCTTCAGAGGGTCTCATTTATTTTAATTAAATGTTGGCTCTGCCTTATCACTGACTTCCTTGGAGCACGTGCAGAGTCACGGCCTGCCTTCCGCCCCCCCCCCCCAGACTGCTTTATTTCATTTGTTTTATTTTTTTACATTTCCACTCTGCCTTTCAGAGAGTTGCTCCAGGCATGTGCAGAGTTCTCCCTGCTTGGGGGGTGGGGTGGGGTGGGGTGCTTCCCCCCCCTTCTGACTGTTTTATTTCGTTTTATTCTTAGATTTCCACCCTGCTTTTCATTCATTTGCTCCAGGTGTGTGCAGAGTCCTCTCTGGGGGTGGGGGGGCTGCCTTTTCTTCCCCCCCCCCCCGACTGCTTTATTTGATTCGTTTTATTTTAAAATTTCCACGTGCAGATTCCTTTCTGCTTTTTTCTTCAGACTGTTTTGTTTTATTCGGTTTTAATTCTTAAATTTCCACCCTGCCTTTCAATGACAATGCAGAGTTCTCCCTCTTCCAGTTCCCCCCTCCCCCCAGCCCAAACTCAGCTTGTATTTAGAATTTATTTTTTAATGTTTCATATTTATTATATTTCGTTTATTTTAATCTTTATTTGTTAAATTTCTACACTTGCCCATCCGTCCTAAGTGGCAGAAAATGCTCTTTTATTTCAGAAGCAGGAAAACTGGCTCTCCCTGACCATTTCTGAGTTGGGTTTCCATTTTTTTTTCTGGGAAAAAATGCTGGGAGGGGGCTGTAATTTGGCAGCATTTCGAGGACCGGATACTTGTATACCCCCCCTCATATAATCGCCAGGGCTTTCATTCATCTGTTATTATTTATAATAAAATTTGATTTATATATTGCCCATCTCATTGTTTGGGGCGACTCTAGGAATAGCAAAGGGTTTCCTTAGACTTCATAACAGGCCTCGTAAAACTGCTTTAGTCCCAAGAACGGGAATCTTTCAAATCCTCTCTCTCTCCATCCTCTTCTGCTAAAGCGGTGGGTTTTTGTTTTTTTTTCAAATTCAGCAACTTGAAAATGTCTGGACTTCGACATCCAGAATTCCCATTTTGGAGGGGGGGGGGAAATTGGACTGGAAGACCTTCAGGGTCCCTTCCAGCTCTTGCTATTCTGTTACCACTGAATTGGAGCCCACCATCTTCAAGTTGCTGAGTTTGGAAAGCACTGTGCTAAAGCCTTCCTTTTTTTAATTATTATTTTTCACATCTGAACCGCTCATCTCCCCGGTGTACAGCGTACGACAGAGTATTAAGATATAAAAACACATTTAAAAAAAAGTAGAGGCAAGGATGATAAGACACACTGTTCAAGCGAATTAAAATTTGAAGGGCATTTCAGGACATTAATCAGTCCCTGGCTGTGTGCTCCTTTGAGTCTCCCTTGCACAGAGTTTTCACACCTTTCCAGAAGGCCCAGGAGAGTTCTGGCTGCCTCACCTCTGGGGAGGGGGAGGTGATGTTGCTCAACAGCAGAGAAGGCTCTCTTTCTTCTTGTTAGTTGCAAAGTCGTGTCCGACCCACTGTGACCCCATGGACCACGTTCCTCCAGGCCTTCCTGTCCTCTACCATCTTCTGGAGTCCATTGAAGCTCACGCCTGCTGCTTCAGGGACTCCATCCAGCCACCTCCTTCTCCGTCGTCCCCTTCTTCTCTTGCCCTCCATCTTTCCCAGCATCAGGCTCTTCTCCAGGGAGACCTTCCTTCTCATTAGGTGGCCAAAGTACTTGAGTTTCAACTTCAGGATCTGGCCTTTAAAAGAGCAGTCGGGGTTGATCTCTAGGACTGACCAGTTGGATCGCCGTGCAGTCCAGGGGACTCGCAGGAGTCTTCTCCAGCATCAGAGCTCAAAGGCCTCCATTCTTTGACGCTCAGCCATTCTTATGGTCCAACTTTCACAGCCCTACATTGCTCTCTTTCTGGACCCTGCCAATGGGAGATCTTCAGCTGATGGGGTCTGCAGCGTGCCCACCCTCCCTCCCTGACTGGGTGGGATAGGCTGATGTAGTAGTTCCGTAGGTAGTCTGTGCCCCCATTCTGATGACAATACCTTGAGCTGCTGCTCTCTGTACAGCAG